CCCGACAACAGTAATATACGCTATCGAATGCTGTCGCACGTCATTTGGTGTCACGCGCCTGTTTAGACCTGGACAACGGAAGGGGTTGATTTTTGTGCTCACCGGTCTCTTTAAAGGAACGCTGTTATCAAAAATTTACCTAAATTTCTTGCTGATTTTAAGGCGCCTGCCATTAATGCGTGAATTTTTAGGTATCGCTCTGGCAGGCATCACCGGCGTTGAGCCGGTCTACGGATTGTATACAGCCATTTTTCCTTCTTTTCTATACATCTTCTTTGGGACGTCAAAGCACAACGCCTTGGGTAAGATTAAAAGGGGTGCGAAAACTCAAAAATCGACTTTTTCAAACGACTAGATCTCGACAACTCAGCACTGGCCTTCCAAAACACATTTCAGACTAATTTCTTTCCTCCCCCCAGTGACACAGAACGTGCTGGCCGTAGCTGTCTAGACCCAGTCGATGGCAGGGTCGACTCTGGCGCTTTAAAGCTTCTTTAAAAACAGTCGTTTATAGGTGGTTTTGCCGTTGTACTTTCTCTGATGACACACTCGGCCATTGAAAAGTCGTCCAATCAACCCGATGGTACCGTACACAACACTACAGAATACAGGAATCGGACGGTATTTCCGAGTTTTGGGTACGGTACTCTCTACTCTCTCTCTCTTTCTCTCTCTCTCGCTCGCTAATTTCTTCGAAATTTTCAGGAAAAACATGACAGAAGCCGGCCTGGAACTCACCGGAAATGAAACGGAATTCCTGAACGCGCTACTTTTTACGAGTACGTTTTTTGCGAACCTTTCCATACTTAGTAATTTTTAGTGACCCAGCGCTGCTGAATCTTACCTTATAAAAACGGCTCCTCATTTTATCGAAGAAGCCTACAAAAGTCGAGTGGACGAACGGATTCTGGCCTACGCAGCCAATCGTAGTCGCTACTACGGTGCTGTTCTCTTAGCGGGGACTTAGCCAGGTAAATATACTTACCCTATCTCCCTCTCTCACTTACTCTCACTCTCTCTCTCTCTCCCTCTCTTTCTCTCTCCTTCCAAAAACGATTTTCAGATTTTAATGGGCGTCCTCGGACTCCACTAATTTTTCAGATGCTACTTTCCGAGCAAGTACGTGTTTACGCCCATTGATTACGCGTCAAATAACGTGTTTTTGATTTTCCATTTTCATCCAAATCCTCACCCTTTTAGCCTAAAATTTTGGCAGGTAATGTCCGGCTTCATCTGTGGGTGGCTGCGTCCACGATCGTATTTTCACAACTCGGCGATGCACTTGGAATTGCTGCCCAAGCGTAATGGTCCCGGATACCTTTACTATGTATGATTTTCTGAGACGTTTCTAGCCTTCTAAATGGACTAGAAGCGCAAACTTGACCCCTCCTTCGACTAGTTTTAGACAGCACGTAACATGCCAGAACATACAAGCCCTTTTTTGCTCAAAAGTCGCGCCGTAGAGTCTTGAAGAAAGAGGTAAAGACTATTTTGGTGCGACGCGTAGCTGTCCAGACTTAGTCGATGGAAAGAGTCGATTCTCGTTCTAATAAGGAGAGCGTGTCCCAATCCTTTTACAATCAATTTCAGCGCCTCTCCGACCTCATCGAGCTCTTCCCGATTCCCTTCATATGCCTACGACGTGTATTTCTGGTAATTTTTGGGTTTTTTAGTTCGCTAAAGAGACTCGAAGCCGTCAGAATAGACCCCTTCCGTCGACTAGGGCTAGACAACGGCGCTAAAAAAGCTAAAAGCTAAAAAATCCATATTGCTAAGTCCGCTTGAAAAAATGCTGAGGTCAAGCGTGCTCAGGCCTGTCGCGGAGTAGTCTAGACCTAGCCGCCAACGGGGGTGGATTCAGGCACTTTCTGCTCCCTTTAAAGCATGATTTAAAAGCCAAGATAAAAATTTAGTCCTCTCCGCCTTGTTCCTACTCATCGGAAAGGAAAAGCTGACCCCGTGGCTGGCCGAAGTTTTCATGTTTCCGGTGCCCTACGAGTTGATTTTGGCAGGTTTCCTACCGTAAGATACACTGTTAATACAGCAAAATACCCTTTTTCCTTTCGCTACAACTTCCGTGATTTAGGTAATCGTCGGAATTACGGCTACAAACTTTGCCGAGTTGGCGAGGAGATACCAAGTGCAAGTGGTTGGCAATATTCCGACGCAGTAAGTCGTGATACCTCTCCCGCTCTCTCCCTCTCTTCACTTTCTCTCTCTCCTCTCACTCTCTCTCTCTCGCTCTTAGTGATTAAATTTAAATTTTAGTTTCCTCCACCATCACCTCCTCGCCTCGACCTTGTCCCCTCTATTTTACATCACTCCTTCGGCATCGCCTTGGCTGCGACCGCCATCCACCTTACCGTAGCCAAGGTCGTCGAGAAGCGCTACAAATACAAGATTGACTATGCACAGGTGAGGTCAGAGAGAGAGGTAAATACTTGCTGTGCCGATTTTCGCTGTGCCGATTTACACTATGCCGAATTTCACTATGCCGAATTTTCGCTATGCCGAATTTCACTATGCCGAATTTTCACTATGCCGAATTTTCACTATGCCGAATTTTCACTATGCCGAATTTCGCTATACCGAATTTTCACTATACCGAATTTTCGCTATACCGAATTTCGCTATGCCGAATTTTTTCTACTCTACCACTAACAGTCTCTACTAATATTAATAACTAAGATCGGCTGGGACTTAGCGGTGCAACAAAAAAATCTGCTGCGCCCACGGGACCTACGATCTGCTCGAGTTTTTGGGAATTTCTAGGCTAACTCTAACTTTCTAGGCCCATGATATTTGGAAAAAACAGTAAAAAAAATGGGGAACATACCGCTTATCAAAATTAGTATGGCGAAGATTCGGCATGGTGAAAATTCGGTATCGTGAAAATCGGCATGGTGAAAATTCGGTATACTAAAAATTCGGCATAGCGAAATTCGGCATAGTGAAAATTCGGCATAGTGAAAATTCGGCATAGTGAAAATTCGGCATAGTGAAAATTCGGCATAGTGAAATTCGGCACAGCGTCAATCGGCATAGCAAAATTCGGCATAGCGAATGGAACTCGAGAGAGAGATAGGTAGATAACGACAGAGAGAGAGAGAGGGAGAGAAAGAGAGAAAGAGAGAGAGAGAGAGAGAGAGAGAGAGAGAGAGAGAGAGAAACAGAGAAACAAGAAAGTGAGGCGCAACTACAATACCGTTTTAGGAGCTCTACGCCCTCGGCTTTACCTCACTGCTCTCATCCCTATTTCCGGTCTTCCCCTTCACATCGGGATTCGCAAGATCCGTGATCGGAGCGGCGGTGGGAGCAGTACGCAGGTGGGAAAGCTAGCAGAGAACATCAGGGAATCGAGGGGGGGTAGGCTAGCAGAGTTCATTTGGGAATTACAGCTAACCTGCTTCTTCTCGTCGGTTGCTCTCCTATCGGTTATCCTCTACATTGGAACGGCCTTGGAATACTTGCCACATGCATTCTGGCTACTATGATCATCCTCTCCAAAAACTCATCTTCGCCAAGTTCGACGAGCTGAAGGAGCTGTGGCCCGTTTTCAAATACGATTTTGTGAGTATCGAATAGACCATTAACCAGCTTTTTAGGCTATCTGGATCGTCTCCATGCTATTCACGATCTGCTGGGACATTGCCGAGGAATTTTGTTGTCTGTCGGGTTCGCGGTGCTCACTACTGTAATAAGGAGCCAGAAGTAAGTGATTTTTCTGAAATAACCTCTTTCAGCCAGTCCCTTCAATTCCCAAATAATCTCTGCTAGCCTAACCGCTATTTCCAATTTTTTCAGACCTCGCTGGCATTACCTTATTGCCAGTGCCGATGGAGCGTTCGGGAAACGAAGCGAAAAGTGGGTTTTAGGAAGATTCTCATGTTTTAAAAAGGGACATGGAAGGCTAAATCTATGGGAATTCCTACGACGAAAAATCTTGTTTTCTAAAAGCCCGTTCAGGAACTAGAAATGGTCAGCGGAGGGAGGCAATTCATAATTCGGATGAACGCTCCGCTAATTTTGCTAGTGTTGATCGCTTTGGAAGTGGATTGGTTTTATCGATTTCTCTTTCTCTCTCTCTTTCCCTCTCTCTTTTTCTCTCGCTCTCTCTCTCGCTTTTTCCTTTTCTTTCCCTCACTGCTCTCAAGAGAATCTCTCTCTCTCGCTTTCTCTCTCTCTCTCTCTCTCTCTCGCTCTCTCTCTCTCTCTCTCTCTCTCTCTCGCTCTCTCGCTCTCTCTCCTCAAAACCCAAGTTTTTAGAGCCGTCTGGGAAGGCGTGAAAAAGTGGGAGCGGACAAAATCGCTGCAACCCGCGTCAGATCAGGCCGAAATGAAGATGGTTGCGTGAATTTGGATACGCTAATTTATTTACGGTAAGTCTAACGCAGGCTTCCTGAGATCGTTTGCCAGTAAGCTCATATAGGCCCAAGCCAGCCGGGACCGAAAAACCGGATCGAAAACCCCCCGGCTCAACGCTGCAGCCTGGTGATCGATTGCTCAGGATTTCCATATGTCCGACTATCTCGGGATGGCGACCCTCAGGATCGGTATACTGTGGCTGGGGCGCCGAATAAGGCTTTTTCTAGGTATACATAGAGCTTGACATCCGCCGGGGTCGAGACCTGCTTTGCGGCGCCACATCGTAAGTAGCTGGGCTGAGGCTTGGGTTTGAGCCCAGGCCAAGCCCAGGCTTGGGAGTAGGCCCAGGCCCAGGCTTAAGCTTTGGCTTAGAGCTTGGGCTTAGAGGCTTAGGCTTAGGCTTGGGCTTGGGTTGCTTCAGGCTTAGGCTGGCCCAGGCTTAGGCTTGGAAGCCCAGGCTTAGGCTAGGCTTGGAAGCCCAGGCTTCGGCGTAGGCTTCCGCTTCCGCTTTCTTAGGTTTAGGTTAGGCTTTGGCCTAGCTCAGGCTTAAGGATTAGGTCTTGCCTTGGGCTTTGGCTTAGGCTTGGGCTTATGTTCAAGCTTTGGGAAAAGCTAATT